CCCCCCCCCCCCCTAAACACGTGATAAGTCAATGCGGCCATCTTCTTCCGGCTGGTCGAAATTGACCAGCCGGAAGTATGTCTGCTGCCAGATGTTACAAGTCTCTCTTTCCTCCTCTCCCCCTCAGCGGTACGTCATGTAACGTGCAATATAGATGTACAATATATAGATGTCCACAAAGAGAGACTTGGAGCAAGTCTAGGATAAACACAGATAAGAAATCACATATTCAAGGAAACATATTTTGTAAGTAAAAAGAGGGGGGATGGAGAGTGTATCAATGTGCCAAACTTGTGAGTGGAAACAATATTTGGTTCTGTTTTGATTTTATTTTTTATCTGTAATCAAATTGTACCAACCTTCATCTTCTGCTTTGATTGTAAAATTCCAGGCTTCACTGGTAAAACAAGCAGATGATTTTGTCAGAGTGATGTAGACATTGCAGAGTTGATACTTTTCACCATTTGTTACAATTATCAAGTACCGAGATGACTGTCCACCCATAAATTCACAATTTGTGTTGCTGGAATTTACTAAATCTATATGACAGATCTCTTTTGTTATTCCATTGCATTCTCCGATCACTTTCAGACTTCCAAAATACTTGGGCAAGTTGTCAGATGGGGTGGAAAGTTCTAAGAACAATTTCCCTTTCTTCACTGATTTTTTGCAGTTGTTAACGGTGCAGGAATCTACAATTGTTGTCAAAAAGTGATGTGGTTAGTTACCAGTATGTCTGGCTTATTTATTGGAGGAAATATACTGTACATGAAATAGTTTCAGCAACTCTTTACAAAAGCATGGTTTCAATGTTTCATATGTCAATTACCTGTCATATAAATGTGGTATTCATTCCTGACTATATTGTTTGCATAGCATGTATAATATCCCTCCATAGATGAGTTCATGTTTGACACCATCAGAGTATAACTGTCATTGTTCAGGTTGTATTGCTCTTGATACGGTAGAGACCGATTTGTTGCACCCGCTTTGAAAGTTAGTTTAGCAATGGTTTTCCTCGGTGAACTGGCCTTGTCTTGCCGTGTCCAACGTAATGCTTTTAACGTCTTGTTACTCTCTACATCACAGAACAGCTGGATATTTCCTCCTCGTTTAACACCTGCAGTATATAGACCCACGTCACCCACTTCCGTGTCTTCTCCAGCTGTAAAAGATAATTGCGTAAATCAGTAAATGTGAGTTCAGCCAAAGAGGTTAAAAAGCCTAAAATCAAAGAAAACAAAAAGGAAAATTGGTAAATGGCACTTAAATTTAATGCTATGTACCTGTTAGCTTTGCCAGGACTAGGAGAATTCCAACATTAAAAAGTGATTGGATTTTTTGCATCTATATCAAAGAGAATATTTTTATTCTAAAATCGCTAAATGTTTATACTGGTTCAACCTAGCTATGTATATATATATTGGCGATTCCATCATGAAATGCAATACGTTTATATATTATTAATGCGGGGAATTCCCGAAATTTTTTATTCTGACTTTTAATGTTCACAAAACTCATTATTAGAATAGAGTGTTAAAAAAATAAAGTTTTCCCGTAAAATTATAGCAGGTTGTACAGAAAGTTTCGTTATTACACTAGAGGGTTAATAGACGTTTAAGCAGAAAAAATCCCATATACTTTAGATGAAATTTGCCATTTGAACTTTGATCAGTTCAAATGCTAAGGCCCCGTTTACACTATACCGGATTGCTATCGGAGTGGGTCAAATTTTGCAGGCATTGAAAGGCTGTGAAGATTTTTAATCCCAGAGACCCAAATAAACATGCCAATTCTGTCAAACTAATAAGCATTTGCTACTAACCATTGCTCCGTAACGGCAGAAGATGATGGCGTGACAAGCGAATCCGGTATAGTGTAAACGGGGCCTAAATTATCATAAGCTACTTCGTTCCCGCGAACTCTAAACTGTTTAACACTGATTAGAATACTCGAATACTCGTAATTACGATTTGAAATTCTAAAAGCAGATTAGTGTGTCTTTGCTGGCCAATGTTATGGATATCATTTTACTACGCAGTTATGCAACTTATGCTGGTGTTTCAGTAAACAGTTTATATATTTATATGTATTAACAGACTGATATTCTTACCGTTTAGATAGTAAACAAATGTCTTGTATCAATATTTTTACTTCCAAGTTCGCTGTTATACAACACACAGTCACAACAGCACATCTGCAAGTGGAGAAGACAAGCGTCACCGGCAAAGAGTTTATTAATATGTCAACACAGGACTTTATATCCGGTTTTTGAATCAGGCTGATTAAGCACATTTTTGAAATTCCAGTAATTTCCGGAATTTTTGACGTGATTTTTTGTAGCCTTTATATATAATTGTTCATGATTTTATAAAGGAATATGGAGACCAAAGTGTTTTCTTTATTTTATCTATGACTATGTTTCATGAACTTTTGGTTGGGTACTTGAGTGCTTGTGTACTCGAACCGACCAGTCCGCGTAGCTCAGTTGGCAGAGCATTGGGCTAGTATTCCAAAGGTCGTAGGTTCGATTCCCACCGTGGCCTGGCATATTTTTCAAGCTTGTCCGGTGTGGATATACCATAGATATCTTATATACACTAGATAGCGCATCTCTTTTAGTAAAGTGAAGCCAAGAATATTCCAGCGGTTACCCCCATTTAAATAGATGGCGGCCGTGTTGGTCGTTCCCACTTGCTAATAAACGCTTCAAAACAACAATAACTTTCATCATTTGAATAGTTTAAAAACGTATTTGGAATAGGGTTAACTTAATGTTTAAGTTCCCTGTTTAAGAAATAGAAAACATACGAATCTTCTCATTTCATGGGAACGACCTGAGACTGCAATCACAGCTTCAATTTTTGAATTGCAGAATAATATTAGATGCACTATCTAGTGTTTATAAGATATCTATGGGATATACACTCAGAGTAACATCAGAAGCATCTTATTCACCTGAGTACATTACACCAACACAGAAAATATCATGTGTGCTACATATGAATCATATATGAATATCTTAAATCATATATGATTACTGTAATAGGCGCACATAAAATTTGTAAATTGAATATGAACAAAGGAGAACGAAAGAAAAAATACACGATCGACTTCAGCTTGAAAAAAAGTGCTGAATTGCAATAATTTATACCAGCTAATTATTTAATGTTAATTATAAAGTTGGCAGGACAAACCACTGATCTTCACCTAGCCTGCGAACAGGCGTTTATGCATGGGGCCCACCCGAATAAACGCCTGTTCGCAGGCTAATAATCACCCCACAGGCACTGACAGAACTCCAGGTTATATAGTTGTGATAATTTTATATTTCTAGCCCGCATAGCATTGAGCCGCCGGCGCGCCTACTCTTGGGGTTACTACTGGGTTACTACAGGGCGTAGTGGGTTACTATTAAAACAGTCGGCTCCCGGGCCAATACTGCAATTAAACAGTTATAAATAAGACAAGGAATATCCTATGAGCAGTCTAATACTAGTAAATAGTAATACTGAACGGAAGCAAAACGCAACTTAAATATATTTTATTGAATAATATTAATGAAGAGATAGATAGATAGGTAGAACAGGTTTAATGAAATCGTAAATTACAGTTGGTATAACTGAATTGCTTACGAGTATTTACAATTGAATTATTTCATACAAAGAACTAACTATATTTGCAATAAAAACTATAGGCTATAATTGACACGAAATAAAGTTAAGAATTTATACACTTATACTATTTCCTGTGGGATCATTTGATATAGTTTGTCCTTGGTATCCAAGTGTGCTTGAAGGAAAAGTTTTTACATGCTGCTTCTCTTCTGTTTCGTAAAGTTTCTAGATTGGCTAATTCGAGCGCCTCTTCATAAGAGCTGGCAGGAAATATCCTTCTTAGACACCGTCTTTGGATCCTTTCAATATCTGAACTCAGGTACTGCGGTAGAGTTGAGTCTTTTAAGCAGTTGACATATATACAGGCTTTAGTATAGAGTATACAAAGAAAAAACAACTGATTTTTACTATTCGGTTATCTGGCATCTGCATAGTATTTATTGATAGGAAAATGAAACTGAATTCTAAAATGAAACTGAAAAACAACTGATTTTCACTATTCAGTTATCTACATATAGACGAGTATTTATTGATTCGTTTAATTTCACAGTTGGGCGTGGAAGAGAAGAAAAACCACTACAATATGGCGTGAAGGTTATTTTATTTATACCAAAAACAGGTTTTTACTGTAAGAATTTGGAGCCATACATAAATAATATCTGATTTCTTACCATTTTTACCGTAGTATATATCCGGGCAAGGCTGTACAAGAATTCCAAAAAGATTTCATTGTTGTTTGTATACTAGGCAAGTACTTAACCCCGAAGGGCCGTTTTCTGAAGAGAAAATTTGTATCGAAGCGTATCTTTAATTATTTAAGCTAATGCATGTATATTGTATAATTTAATTAATTAAATTCAACTCTATATAGGCAGTATTTTGTAAGTTCATAAATTAAGAAAGTATCTTCATACGCGTCTGTGTTAGATTCGTTGTTGTTTTTTATTTGGTCTCTGCAGTAGGCTCTGTATCTCGTGTGTTTCGATTCAGTTCACTAGAAAGCCCATCCAGCCGATTATCATTGGCATTAATATCTTCATGCGTAGACGGCGCACGTAGTTGCAGTACCTGGGCTGGCTTATTTAGGTTTTCAGAACTGCATCTCCGACAATACCATCACATGAAAAAAGAACCTATTGCTATTCCTACTACAACACAAGTTACAAGTATAGAAACAGTAATAGGTTTTTTGCAATCACCATTCGTTTGTTTACGCGACTCTTTACATTTACGGCGGTGTGTAGGTTGATTGCTGGTATTTATTGATGGTTGTGTGTATTTGCTTTCTACTCTGCTAGTCATTGATAGCATATTGGTTGGTTTCGTTGGTTTTAATGACTGTTCGGTGGTTTCTTGGTCTGGATTGAGGGTTTTCGTTGAAACAGTCGTTATTGGGTGTGTAGTATTCTCTTCAGTTGATGGTGCTAATATATTTGAGAAATGAAATAATATCAAATACATTGTTGACTACAAAATAAAAATATGAAATCATGAATAATTAATAAGGCCAATAAAATTTGAAAGGTTACGTCATATGAATATTCTTAGAAATGAATGTGTATAGTAATTTCAAGAGAATAATATATTGGACCGTGCCTCTCTCCTCCGCGGAGACTTTATTTGCATGGCTTTAGTTCTCCGCTCGTGTTCCAAAATCCGCCATAAAGTGTGGTGAAATGTATCTCAATATACTAATCGTGATCATAGCCAACTAAAGCCTCTGCGGAGGAGAGAGGGACGACTCAGGGACCGTGCAACATTTACCTTGTGTAAGTAAAAACGTTTGACTTTTTACTTCATCACTACTCTCCGGTTCAAAATTGAAGGGATCGACACGTGCAATTCGAAGGGATCAACACGTGCAATTCGATTGTTTTAATTTACTTGTAAACCTATGATAAATTTGTAATTCAATGATAAATTGTCTTCGTGTTGGTCATAACCACGTGAAAGAGATAAAGAAAACATCAACGTTTCGAGCGAAGACTTCTTGTCTGGACGTTAATGGCCATGTAGAGAAGACGCTTGTAGGGGCTTCAAAGCGTTGAAGTTTTTTTCAGATGTTTTTCAGGACGTCATGACTAAAACAAACTAGTTTATCTGGTACATAGTTAGCAACATTCCATACCTTTTAGGACCCTTTAGCAATCCGATCATAAAAACTGAATCAACACGATTATTCCCATTAATTTCACCGTTATAAAACGCTGAAAATGACTAAGGTAGCTGTTTGTGGCATCTCATTGCGGTATGTGATTCCATGGCGTAATTAGAAACGTATGCATATTGTGACGGATGCCTTTATACACACTGTTTTCGCTGATCACGTGACAAGATTCTAAAACGTTTTCGAGATCGCTGCTACGAGGTGTGACAAAACAATTTTCATTGCAATTCTCCATGGGTACGGAGTTTTGATTCTTTATAAGATTTAAAACATTTGGGTTAAAATTCTGCTTCATGTGAGCACTTGGAGAACGGTCGAGCTCAATCTCATTCCCCGAGCCTGCGATCCTCCGGAAGGAACGTGAGGCTCTGGGATAATCCGTTGCTGGAAGCCAGGAATCCTGGATAAAATCGAACTGCGCATTCCATACCAACGACCAATCAGATTCCTCCCTGAAACGGATTGTCCGAGAGCCTCACGTTCCTTCCCGAGGATCGCAGGTTCGGGGAACGAGAAAAGGTCGAGCTGATTAAACTTGCATGTTATATGATAAGTCGTACCTGAGTCAGCACTATGACTTCTACCTTGCTGTAACGCCTTTTGTGCCATTGCTAATTGTGGTATGCCACAGGGTGGGTTATGATAATCCGCAAACACAAGTAAGGATGATTGGAATGGAACGAATAAATGTTAGACTGAATCCCAAACACTTACACATATTGTACAAAACGTCTGCTACCAGTGGGCAATATTCCTCATAGATCGGGTAAAAGGCTCGTAAAACCTGCTGGCTAAACAATGTCGAGGCCCAGAAAGGCTGACATGCGAATGTTAAGATGTCTAAGATAGATGAAGATGTAAGGTGGTCGACATTGCAGTGACAGTGAGGGAAATAAGGCTGAAATGGTACGAGACAGCAGGTTGAAAATAAATGCTAATATAGAAAGTGATGGATGGGTGGTCTGTGTGATTGAAGATCCAGGAAAACAAGGGACAGAAGCTAGGTAAAAGAAGAAGACAATATTATTCATGAGAGATAGTCCATCTCCGTTCAATCACGGTGATTCAATGAAGTGGCAATGTTGATGTTTGGTTTCGCCAGCAATTAGGCTGTTGTCTTCAATGTCCCATCACAAAGAAAAAAGTGTAAGAAGCAAGAAAATAATGTATTTCATCCATAAATAATGTTTACATTGTATATTAGTTGGCTTTGTATAAATACTCTGTATTTCAACGTTCTCATGCATATCAATGTTTGCCAATACCGACGTTTGGTGATTCAATACAGTCGTTTGGTCGTCATCCAAAATGATCCTGTGTTGCTATCCTGTGTAAACTGTTCAAACGTGTGAGGCTGTTGGCAGTATACCTAATGATTGCAGGACCGTTCTGATTTTCACCGTTGTCGTCAGACTGGAATCGAAATGACTGTTTATGACGACGTTTATGCCAAATTAAACATACTATTAGTAGCAAAATTACCACACCAAATATAATCACGATTATCCAGGGTGTGGATAGGCCGGGCGTACTCGTAGATGTATCTTTGGCAGATATAATGGGTGGAACGCTGGCGGTCATTTCTGACGTGCTTCTCTTCGTTGACGTTGGAGTTATCGTTGAATTAGTCATTCGCGACGTTGTAATTCCCTGGGTCGGGTATGTTGGAGTTACTTCACCTAGATAATGAAATAAGATATGTCTAGTCGACTTACTGTACGTTTTCTGATCTGGCTGACTGCTTGGCTGTCTGGCTGGCTGACTATCTGGCTGGCCGCTTCATGGCTGGCTGCTCGGCTGGCTATCTTGATCATGAATCTTATTTACCTTTATTTTCCGTAGTAAGTAAAAACAACTGAATTTTATCGTGAATAAATTCGACATAAAAATTCACACCAGTATTCAGTTTGGCTGTGTCGTTGTATTGTATTTTCACCTCGCATACACCAGGTTTTTTTACGACAGTTGCAGGACGAATTTCGCAGTTATTGCTTGTATCACTTGGTAGTTTTGAACACAGGTAAACAGTCAGTGCGTAAACTGCTATGTCACAGACACTTTCACGCCTTGTTAACACTTCATAGGTGATGCCCCATTCTCTTTTTAGTACTTTGCCGATAGTTTTCTCATTATATGTTTGTCTGACAATAATGACGTGAGCTATAAAATACACAATGATAATACAATCATCTAGTCAGTTTGCGCAGATGCTTAAGCCTGCAATTCATCGGCGATGTTCCCATGCATGGTTCGTTGTCGGTGATCAATAGAGAAGAAAATCCTCGTTAGACAAAGAATTTTATGACAATGAATTGCGATACACGAAAACCTGGCTTTAACTATTTTATGAGTGAATCCAATCACAATAGTCGTTACTGCTTCAAGCAGTGGCAAACTTCGCCATGGCCCATGGCAACTAGTCATGCTATGTCAAGCGAAGTGGTTAGCGCACTTGCCTCTGCCTCTAAGGCAATCTCGTTCGTTTCCTTCCCAAGGATCGCAGGCTCGGGGAACGAGATTGCCTCTAAGGTCGCAGGTTCATACCTCAGTGAGGACTTATTCAATGCGACTCGAACCCAGTGCTCGTGTTAAAAGAGTAAAAAGTCAACGCTCTGCCGAAAGTCGTGGGCTTTCTCCGGGTACTCCGGTATCCTCCCACAGGGAAAGTTGACAGGGTGGGTTAGGTAAAAAGGGCCCACAGTAATTGGCATATGCTGTTGTGGTGACCCTGCCCTAGTTGGCTAATCTAAATAAATAGAAAAAAACAGAAAAAAACCTGCATAAACGTAGAGATTGTCTTATGTCTTTCGGGGTAGTCGCTTAATGAGAATAACATAAATGATAATATTTGCATGCATATATACCTGGAATTTCAACGACGTATTGAACAATAGTCTTATTTCCAGCCAGTTGTTTATATTCTCCATTCAAAGAGAATGTCATAATCCTGATTATTAAATCTTTGTTCTTCGTCATTACGAACAAGCTTTGATTGATAATCCATGGCGTTTCTCCAGGTTTTACGTAGGCAATCGTGGTGTCGTCAAAGGTCCACGATATATTTTTGTTGGATTGGTCAGGGTAACCCTCTGCCGAAAAACCATTTGGGAGGGTAACTTTCTGGCCTTCTGTGGGAGAGATATGGTAATTGGTAATATCACCTTAAAATACATAAAAGAACCCTTTGAAACATCTGTAAAATGCAAATACAGGGCCGTGAATGCTCATTTCGTTAGTTGAAAATTGTAGTTCTTTACCTGCTGTGACAGTCACTCTAAGTGTAGACCAAATGAACATAAAAATTAAATTCGTAGATACACTATTCTTCAAATGCATAGCTGCATGGTCTGAATAAATGAAAAAAAGGTATTTGTAAAATATATTAATTAAAATTGCTGCGCCGTGGCTGCATGGTTTGCATCAACGTTAACTATCTAATATTATCAATCAATCAAACTTTATTTATCCACGGTACTATTTCACAAAGACAAAAACTAAAATATTTACAAGAGTCAAGATGTGATCTTCCAATAGGCCGCGCCATGTATGATTAATTACGTGCAATCATATAATAAGAATTTATTAAAGTTAATACAAGATCGAAGAAAAAAAAATCAAAAGAGTTTTATTTTATTTTTATTATTTTATTTAATCAAAAGAGTTTTATTTTATATAGCTATATTTTTATTTATTGAGTTCGGACTTAATTCACCTAATCTAATGCATGTCCATGACCATGCATGTCAATATTAAATGACAGAGACTTTGATTTGAATACGGTTTGGATAACGAACACGTGCTAAATATAATATTAAGATAATAAGATTGAATTATACTCTCTACATTCTGTGGCGAGTGTATAAAGCATTTTTTTGCTAAACTGCATTAATAACACAACATCAAGAATACGAGGCAGACATATCTTTTTATTTTGCAAAATTGTTCGGGAACGTAAATTATTACACAATTCACTCACAATTATAAATTTACAACTTAAAGATTATAGGTCGCGTATCGGCGAAGAGAATGCCTCAGTCGCATATTATTCTGAATCACTGTCTTAAATACTCTACCAAGTACTGTCCTCCCTCCGGAATTTAATCACCGTCTCTGTTAGGGGTGTACATCGTAGACTATTCGACGCAATGGACCTATTCCCTAATGAACAAAATGTTGATCTAGACAAGTCTATACTATAGACAAACATTTCACCACAGCTTGAAACAGCATCACAAAATTAGTAATATTCCGAAGTTTCGTTGCGAAATGTTGTAAAATGCGGATAATATAGGCCTGCGAGTTTTTCATTGATACCGCTTAATTCTGAAAAAAATGTATCAATTTCCCGTGCGTAATACAAAATGACTGAAAAACGGCAAACTTCGCAAGGCTATAATATATTATCTGCATTTTACAACATTTCGCAACGAAACTTCGGATCGGAATATTACTAATTTTGTGATGCTGTTTCAAGCTGTGGTGAAATGTTTGTCTAGACTTGTCTAGATCAAAATTTTGTTCATTAGGAAATAGGTCCATTTACTGTAAAACTTTAATGTTCTGTTGAAGTCTTCATGTTGAAATCTTCACCAGCGGGGGAAAATTTGATTAGCTTTTTATTTTATTTATAGGCCGTGGGCCGTTGGCCAAAATTATTTCGCTTCGTAGCAACCCCCTGGAGAATAGATTTTCTGTGGTTTAATGCATAGTACCATAGATGCTCGATACCACAAAAAGTCCCAAGCAAACAACTTGGCAAACACCGAGAAAATGGGTGATCAGTGATTATCCTCTATTAAATTGTATTACAGCAAGAAAATGTGAAATTTTGTATTCATTTACAACAAAAATGACATGCATTATCAGAAAGCTTACAAAAAAACTGTATATAAGACTTTTAAACAGTTTTTTGATCCTTCAAATAGTCTTCGAGTTATTGCTGTTTTAAATGTGAAAATTGGACCAAAATGTCGCAATAAGGACTGGGTACTAGGTCAAAAACACGTTTTTGACAACGTATAACTCGAAAGTCGAAAACAATTTGAGATATAAAAAAACTGTTTAAATATCTTAAATGTAGATTTTTGTAAGCTTTCTGATGATGCAACTAATTTTTGTTGTAATTGAATACAAAATTTCACATTTTCTTGCTGTAATACAATTTAATAGAGGATAATCACTGATCACGAATTTTCTCGGTGTATGGCAAGTTTTTTGCTTGGGAAGTGGGAACTTTTTCTGATTCAGCATCTATGGTACTATGCATTGAACCACAGAAAATCTATTCCCCAGGGGGTTGCCACGAAATTGCTTTTCTAAGCACTTTTTCGCACAACAGCCCACGGCCTATATTGCATGTTTATAAACCTGCCAAGATGCAATATTTCAAACATATTTCTAACCGTATTGCTAGGCGACATATAAATTGGTGGCTACGCCTACGGTCTCGTAAGTTGAGCCAAAAAGGCTAAAATCAAAGAAAACAAACAAAAAGGAAAATTGGTAAATGGCACTTAAATTTAATGACATGTACCTGTTGGCGTTGCCAGGACTAGGGGAATTCCAACATTAAAAAGTAAATTGGATTTTTTGCATCTATATCAAAGAGAGAATGGAAAGACTGAATATATTTACTCTAAAATCGCTAAATGTTTTATACTGGTTCAACCCAGCTGTGTATATATTGGCGATTACATCATGAAATGCAATATGCATTTGTTAATTTAATAGGCCTATTATGTCTATTATAATCATGACAGAGAATTTCCGATTGGGGAATTTTTTTTTAAATTTTAAATGACTTCACCAAAAAGAACGTATAAGAACGTTAAAACATACTTCAGTTTAGTATTCATTAAACATACTTACCCAGCTAATGACGTCACACGTTGTGCTGAATCAGCAATTTTGTTGCTCATACCCTTTAAGCTAAATTATCATAAGACATAAGCTACTTCGTTCCCGCGAACTGTAACCTGTTTAACACTGATTAGAATACTCGAATATTCCTAATTACGATTTGAAATTCTAAAAGCAGATTATAGCGTGTCTTTGCCAACTTTTTGACAGCATTTTCAAACCACCATTAAGTTCGATTAACGACATGCATAACGTGGCCAATGTTAATATGCATAGTATCATTTTACTACACATGCAGTTATGCTGGTGTTTCAGCCACAATAACAATTTATATATTTATTATGTATTAACAAACTGATATTCTTACCGTTTAAATAGTAAACAAATGTTGTCTTGTATCAATATTTTTACTTCCAAATTCGCTGTTATACAACTGAACACACAATCACAGCAGCACGGCAAACAGTTTCAATTAATATATGTCAACACAGAATAGCCGCCCTTTATATATCCGGTTTTTGAGTCATGTGAGGCTGATCATAGCTGATCAAGCACAATTTTTTGAAATTCCAACGATTTCCGGAATTTGTTATGTGGTTTTTTGTTGCATTATTATAATTATTCATGATTTTATAAAGGAATGTGGAGACCAGCGTGTTCTCTTCACTTTATCTATGTTACTTTTACTGTTGTAGCCTTAAAGTTGAACCCTATAAGGCTATATGATTTGTGAAATAAAATTTGTAAATTGAATATGAACAAAGGAGAACGAAAAAAACCTTATATACGGTCATAGACTTCAGGTTGAGAAAAAACAGGAATGTGCTGAATTGAAATAATTTAATACCAGCTAATTTATTTAATTAATGTAGCAATTAAGTTGGCGGGGAAAACCACTGATAATCACCTGACTGATAATGGCTGTACGTGCGACTTTGCCACAGGCACAGAACCCCAGGTTATATAATTATAGTTGTGATAATTTTAATTTTATATTTTTAGCCCGCATAGCATTGAGCCGCCGGCGCGCCTGCTCTAGTCTTGGGGTTACTATTAAAACAGTCTGCTCCCGGGCCAATACTGCAATTAAACAGTTATAAATAAGACAAGGAATATCCTATGAGCAGCCTAATACTCAGTAAATAGTAATACTGGAATCAAAACGCAACAACTTAAGTAGTATTTTATTGAATGATATTAATGAAGAATTACGTGTTTTAAGCAGTTGACCTATATATACAGGCTATAGAGTATAGAAAGAAAAAAACAAACGATTTTCACTATTCAGTTATCTACATAGTATTTATTGAATATTAATATAGGAAACTAATGAAACTAAAATGAAAGAAACTAAAAAACAACTGATTTTCATTATTCAGTTATCTACATATACAGGCAACTAAGACAAGCATTTCAGTACAGTATTGATTCACTCTCCTCCGCAGAGTCTGAATTATATGAGGATTTGTAGGGATAATGTAGGGATAGTAGAGGACATCTAGTGGTGTAATTTGTTTCCCAAGTAATATTACGTGATTTTACTAAAACTTCGTAAGGCTCTGCGGAGGAGAGTGGTATTGATTCGTTTAATTTCACAGTTGGGCTTGGAAGAGAAGAAAAACTACTACTATATGGCGTGAAGGTTATTTGATTTATGCGAAAAACACTGGTTTTTAAGAATTTGGAGCCATAAATAATATCTGATTTCTTACCATTTTACCGTAGTAATTAATATCCGGGCAAGGCTGTACACAACAATTCCAAAATCCCAGGACAAAACAAAGATTTCATTGTTTGTATACTTCTAGGCAGGTATATTAACCCCGATTAAGGGGCGTTTTCTGAAGAGAAAATTTGTATCAAAGTGCATCTTTAATTAAGCTAATGTAATTTAATTAATTAAATTCAACTCCATAGCCATATGGGCAGTATTTTCTCGTTTAAAAATTAAAAAAGTATCTGTATATGCGTCTGTGCTAGATACAACTGTCGTCGTTTTTTATTCGCTGGTCTCTATGTCTTGTGTGTATGAATTTTCACTGGAAAACGCATCCATCTGAATATTGCCATTGGTATCATCAGTAATATCTTGCGTAGACGGTGTATTTGTACTGTTGTTTTTTGCAGAGCAACATCTACGACAATCAAGATATTTATGACGACAATACATGCATATGAAAAAAGAACATATCGCACAAGTTACAATCAAGGTTACAGCTTTAGAAACAATAGTAGCTTTAGTACAATCACCATTCGTTTGTTCACACGACTCTATACATTTACGATCTGTAGGTTGATTGTTGGTATTTACAGTTGATGGTTGATGTGTGTATTTGTTTTCTACCCCGCTGGTCATTGATAGCGTATTGGTTGGTTTCGTTGGTTTTAATGGCTGTTCGGTGGTTTCTTGGCCTGGATTGAGGGTTGTCGTTGAAACTGTGATTGACTTTGGTGGATGATTCGTTATTGGGTGTGTAGTAGATTTGG